CGAGCTTGCCTCCCTGAGGACCCCGCCAAGTGTAGGACTGACAGCTGCTCACTCACCTGCCCAGGATGCCCAGTGCGGGGGCGGGGGTGCTACTCCTCTCTGCCACCTCTCTTCTCCAGCCCCGCCCCGAGCCTCTCTGCCTTCCTTCTGCCCCCGCGCCAGCCAGGAAGCCTCCCTGGATTGCCTTGGATCCTCCGGACCCGGCTGCACAGCCCAGAGCCGATCAGCTCCGCTAGCTGCTGGGGCCACGAGTCGGTTGGGTCCCGGCGAGCCCAGACCTTGGCCGCTGACCGCCAGGGGGCGGCAGAGACAGCCTTCTAGGGTCTGTGTCGAATTCTGTCGAGTCTCACCGAGAGTGGCGGGGCACGTTAGCAAGCAGCCTTGTGTGGTTTTGAAAACAGTTTTGTTTCTTTCAGAATTTTGTTCCAGGGATACTCTTTTTTAAAGAAATTGAATTGAATTGATTGATTGATTTTTAAAAAGATTTTATTTATACATTTTTAGAGAGCAGGGAAGGGAGGGAGAGAGGAAGAGAAACACATTCGTTGCTTCTCCTGTGGCCCCTACCAGGGACCTGGCGGGCAACCCAGGAGTGTGCCCTGACCCGGAGTGGAACCCAGCCCACCGGGCCGCGCCCGTCATGGCTGAATTGATTTTTTAGAGAGAGAGGGACATCAATTTATCATTCCATTTACTTATGTATTTATTGATTGATTCTTGTATGTCCCCTGACCCACAGCCTGGGTGTACCGGACACACTCTAACCAACTCAGCTACCGGGCCGGGGCCCACAGGGCTACTCTCCATTTCTAAGTAACTTCCAGTCAATTATTACTGTTCTGCATTGTTTGAAAGTTAGCCGGTTGCTGGATGACTTTAAATTGAGGTCAAGGCAGACACGTGCTGGCTTCTCTGAGTCCCTGTATGTGCTTCTTGATGTCCCTGGCTGGCTGTACCTTGCACCCAGCGTGACCCTAGCCACCAGAGCTTGGCCGCCCTGCATCCTCCCTGACGCCGACTGTCCAGCCACCACCTGCTGTCTCCCAGCTCAGTTCCCGCAGGGCCCTGGCCCAGGAATCAATCCTCCAGCTGCCTCCAATGCACCATCCTACCAGCCTCTTATGGTGTCTTAGCCTCCATAGCTCCTTCTTCCCAGCCTTCCTCCAATGCCTCTGCGGGCCCCGCCCCTCTCTCATCACACTGGTTCTCTCCACGTGGCCTTTTCGGCTCCTGCCTCCCTCCCCTCGACCACCGCATCGGGACTTGCCCTCCCTGGCCGAGGGCCTCAGCGGCCCGCATGCTGGTGGGTCCTCTGCCCACAGCACCCGGAGCACCTGATGCTGGCCCGGCTCCCGGCGCCCTCACTCTCCTGGGCTTCCTCCCGCCGCCTGCCTGCTCCTGCTGGGCCCCGTGCCGGTTCCACCTCATCTCTCCCACCACCGAGCAGGAATGTTCCTGGCTCGGTCCTGACCGCTGCCCTCCTTTACGCAACGGCACCTCCCCCATGGCGCCCAGGCCTCTGGCCCCGAGGAGCACCCACTCCCCTGCCTCCCGAACCCGAAGCCGCAGGGCTGGCTGCCCCGGTGCAGTCGGGTCGCACAGGCAGCAGTCACCTTGGCATCTCCACTCTGACGCCCAGTCGGTGTCTCAAACGTTACACTGGCTGAGCTGATCGCCCTCCCAAGCCTGCTCCTTCCCCAGCCTCCCTCAGGGGAGTGGTGGCAGGCTCGGTCCCCAGATGGCCTTGGAGTCACCCTTGATTTGTCTCTGTCCCTTCCCTCCTACCCAAACCATCGGGCAACCCCACCACCTCTACGTTCAGGACAGCCCAGCGTCCCCCCTGGACCAAGCTGCCCCCCGGAGCCGAGCCCCTCAGCCTTTCCGCCTGAACAACTGCGGCGGCTCTGGGCCAGGCTCGCCCCCGGCCCCCGACCCCTGACCCCCAACCCCCACGCAGAGTCTGGTGTCCGTGCGGCAGCCAGAACGATCCATTTGGAACTCAGAGTGGCTACCGAGTCAGTTCCCGCCCGTCCCCAGTACGTTCAGGACCCTGTGGGGGCTCTCATCTTCCCCAGAGGGACATCCAAAGTCCTCCCTCGGGAGTCTGACAAAGCCCCATAACACCTGCCCCCCCATCAGCCCTAACTCACCCTCCGATCTTCTCCTGCCTCATCCAACGTCAGGGGCCGTGACCGCCTGGCTGCTGCCCTCTCAAGCCGGCACGGTCTGCCTCAGGGCTTTGCACCGGCTGATCCCCCAGGTCGGGACAGTTCCCTGCAGGCACCCCCCTGGCTTCCTCCCTCTCCAAACGTCTGATCAAAGGTCCCTTTCTCAGCGAGGCCCACCCTAACTCACCTCCAGGGCCCCTGTTCTCCATTGCCCTCACCTTGCCCTGTTTACTCCCTATAATAATTAGTAAGCATCTTTTTAAAAAGATTTTATTTATTTATTTTTAGGGAGAGGGGGAGGAGAAAGAGAGGGAGAAAAACATCAATGTGTGGTCGCCTCTCACGCACCCCCTGCGGGAGATCTGGCCCACAACCCAGGCATGTGCCCTGACTGGGAATTGAACCAGTGACCCTTGGGTTCACAGCCCACGCTTGATCCATTGAGCTAGGCCAGCCAGGGCTAAGCATCTTAGAGGGAGGGGAAGGGAGGGACAAAGAGAAAGAGGGAAACATCGATCAGTTGCCTCGATCAGTTGCCTGTCGCATGCCCCAACCGGGGACCTGGCCCGCAACCCAGGTGAGTGCCCTGACCGGGAATCTAATTGCCTTTGACCTTTGACTTTGTGCACAGCATTCAACAGATGATGTAACTTACTCATTCTGTTTCATGTTTCTGGTCTGAATCCAAACCCCCACCCAGAATGTAAGCTTGAGGAAGGCAGGGTCTTCCCCTCGCTCACTGCCGTGCGCCCAGGTGCTGCGAGAGTGCGTGGTGCACCGGGAACCTGAACAAAAACTCGCCGGGTGGATGAGTGAACCCCTCTCGGCCGGCAGGTCGTGTGCACCTGTGCCCCCGGGCGAGTGGGGAGCGGGCGGAGACCCGAGGCCCAGGCTCCTCCCGGTCCACCTTCACTGGCTTTCCTGTGACGAGCAGCCGTAGGAAAAGCAGTAAAGAGAAATACAGGAGACCTTCGTCGTGCCGCACTTTCTGGCTGTTCTATCTTGTCATTATTGCAAACGGAGCAAGCGTTTTGTTTTGTTTGTTTTCTCCAGAGTTGTTTTTTAATGTTTGGGTTTTATTTATTTATCTTAGAGGGAGGGGAAGGGAGGGACAAAGAGGGAGAGGGAGACATCGATCAGTTGCCTCTTGTATCCCCCAACCGGGGACCTGGCCCGTAACCCAGGCGAGTGCCCTGACCGACAGTCTAACTGCCTTTGACCTTGGGCTTTGTGCACAGCGTTCAACCGCTGACTGAGCCACAGTGGCCAGGGCAGGAGTTTTTTTTTAACTTGAAAAAGAATAAAAAAGACCTGGGAAATTCTTCAAAGCATACAGAAATGCTTCACAATGACCACAGGGCTGCAGGCCCCTCCTCGTGGAGTCCCGGTGTCTGGGACATGACAGGGAGGGGCGAGGGTCATGTATTTGCAAACAGTCATCCGGACACTTGGTTTTTGGATGTAGTGCAGAGGCCGCATCGCCCAGTGCCTGCTGCCCGCTGCTCAGGCCGGAGAAGACCCTGCTGGGCGAGCAGAGGCGGTGGCGGAGGCCTCGTGGGGTCCTGCCTCCACCTTAGCCGTGCGTGGCGGGCGGGGCAGACACTATGCTCAGGTCGCCCTGCTCTGAGAGGCCTGCTGCCGCCCTGACCCGACCCGCAGCCCTCTCTGGACGGAGGGAGTGTGAGGAAAGACCCCAGGGTCTGCCTGCAGGGTGGGCCCTGCCGGTGTGGCTCCTCACGCCCCAGGGGCCCAGGGTCAGAGGCGGGGCTGGAGCCTCATCCTTTGGGGAAGAAGCCAGAGAGCCCCCGAGGGCAGCCCTGCATGCCAGGGCACTCTGGGCCGTGGCCGCCTCCAGGCCAGCGTCCAGGTCTCTGCTGGGGCCACGGGGCTCCCGGGTGAGTCCCCAGGCTGGAGTCAGGCGACCAGGGCTGGTGGGAATCAGACTCAGGAAGCCCCCCTCTGACAGGCTGGCACTGCTGCGGGCCCAGCAGCCACCAGTTTGAGGAAGTTCTTTCTGCAAGGGTTTCCCATGCTGGCAGCCGCCTCGCCAGTTCAGACTGGATTTTTCCTGCTGCCCTTTCCTCGGCGGCCTAGCTGGGCACAGGGTCTCTCCTAATGAGAGTTTGATGCCAAGACCTGGGCAGCTCCATCCCGCTGGGTCTCAGCTGGTTCAGGTCCGCCCCAGGCCATGGGCAGCCTCCCAGCCCCACCCGGGGCCAGGGCGCTGGGGCTGCCCTGCGTCCTTGCAGCCCCCGCTCCGCCCTGGACTCTCCCACTGAAAGCTCCGGCCCCACATACCGGGACTCACTAACCCACCTTTATTCACAGCGGGTTTTCTGTGACTAAAAGGACCAGCCTGACACAGGGCACAGGGTCCCTGGACTTTTGTTTGCAGACTCGAGGCATTGACAGAGGCTTGACATGGCAGCGGGGGGTGGGGGGGGGGGGGGGGGCGGGGGGCGGCGGCCCCTGCTGTAGAGCTTCCCAGCCGCCCCCCGCTCAGACCCTCTCTGAAGCTGCTGCGGATGCACCTCACGTCCCTCCTTCCGGAGGCCTCTCTCTGTCCCATTTCCTGGGGCCTCATTAATTCCTCCCCACCTCACCCTGTGAGAAAGCAGGTCTGTGCTGAGCCTGGCCCGGGCCCAGAGCGGGGTCTGAGCGTGCGGCTGGTCGGTTTGGGAGGCAGGGGGCGAGTGGCGTGGGGCACGCTCCCCGTCCCCACCCTCATCCCGGGGAAGGAGGCAGGAGAGGCCTCTGTCGCCACCCACGTTCCAGCTCTCACCCCCTTCCCCAGAGCCCAGGGACCGTGGAGATCAAGAATATAAAACGCAGTTGGTCTTCAGTATCATATTTATAAAAGGGGGCTGCCAGCCAGCCTCCACCCTGTCCCAGGCTGGCCCCTGGGTCTCTGGCTGCCAGGGGCAGAGATGCTCTGGGCCCCAGCCTCTCTCTTCTCCCAGCGGGGGGCGCGGGCTAGGGCCCAGGCTCGGGTGGGGGGAGTCCCAGCCTCCCCGGGGCTGGTGACGGTGCACGGCAGGGGCCTGTTGAGGACACCCCACTGATTCGATGTCACCCTCAAAAGAACCTGCTGGCTCCAGGAGTAGGGTGAGGGGTTATGTTCCCGGTGGTGGCGAGGATGGGAGAACCGGAAAAGAATACCCAAGCACCTGAGCCCACGTGCCTGCAAGGGCCTCGGGGACGGCAGGAAGGCAGGCAGGAGGGCTGAGGGAGACGGGGCCTCAGGGGGCAGCCCGTGACCCAACAGCGAGGTGGGGGGATGGCCGCCGGCCTGGGTTCCAGCTCCACGTGCCCCCTGCAGGCTGGCAGAGCTCAGCGCCAGGAGGGAAAGGGGCTCCGGCGAGCTCTGAGGCAACGAGGCGGGGGGCAGCCCCGCCTGCTCCCAGCTCAGGAAGGCCCTGCAGACCAGGAGCCCCCCGCAGGGAAGGGGCCCAAGGGCTTTGGTCCTGGTTCTCTCTAAAAAAATGACCCTTCCACAGAGAGGCCCCGGGACGGGGCCCCACGCCACGGTGTTTAGCCATGTCTTTCTCCTCCCCGAGACGGGCCACGGGGTGCCAGCCGGGGCCGAGGGGTCCGGGCGGGGCACTGGTGAGCAGACCGAACAGGACGGGCTGTCCTAGTGGTTTCCTCCATGCCGGCTGGTCCCCGAGACCCAGTCGATGATGATGAAGCTCAAGCTCATGGTCATCATCAAGAGGCCAAGCGCAGCGAAGCAGAGGGCCTGTGGGGTTGAAAGTCGGGGTCAGGACTGAGGGTGGGGCGGTCCCCTAAGCTTCCCCGCAGCCCACCGACCGCCAGGCCCCTCGCACCAGGATTTTGGGGGTGGACCTCGCAGGCTCCTTCTCGGTGGGCACGATGCGGAAGTAGAAGACGGCGGGGAAGATGAAGATGAGGCACGGGGCAGACGTGGCACCTGTTAAAAAACAAGGCGTGGCCACCAAGGGCTCAGGGCCTCCTATTGGCTAAGGTTCAGAGGTGGATCCAATAAAATCAGACAGTCCTCGTGGGGGGAGGGTCTCATCTTGAGACCTCTCTTGCAAGCCCGTCCTCTGCCCTCAGGGGCCTCTGGAGCGAAGGGGCTAGCGTGGCTGGTGTCACAAGACTCTCCCAGCGAATGAAGCTGGCAAAGAGGAAAGGCAAGTCAGAGATACAGACAGACTTGAGGATATGGGGCTCCTGGATGTAGCTGTTCCTGAAGACCTTTCTACTGTTTGAGCCAATACATTCCCGTCTGCTCGCTTCATGTTGAGTTCCCTTATGAACATACACAACCGAGAGTCCTGGCTGTGATTTCCGGGATACTTAGCCCATGTCTGTGGGTCAGTCCCTGCAGAGTTGGGGGAGGGAGCCAGTCTCCTGAGTCGGGTCACCCCGAAGACGTCACAGAATCGCTGACCGTGCAGCTCAGAGCCCCAGCTGGGTTGGGACAACGGACAGGGCAGCCACCCTGTAGCCCCCAGATCCTGGGGCCGAACCAAGGCCCCCCACTTACCAACCGTGAGGCTCTGCTACTCCCTGAGTCTGAATGTCAGTTTCCTCATATGCAAAATGGAGACAAGACCCACGGACAAGACCCTGCTTTGTGCTGCCCCAGCGAGGGGCACTGACACGCGGGTTCCGGGCCCTGTGAGGGGACGGGAGTAGCCCGCGGGGTGAAATCCCGGGTGGGAGGCCGTGCCGTGCACACGGCCAGCGGCCAGCGCTTGAAGGCAGGGTGCGAGCTCAGGAGTCGGCCAGCACTTGCGGAGGAGAAGTCCTCCGGGGCAACACCCAGCAGGGCCAGACCCTCACCGATGACCCCGAAGATGCCCAGGATGTTGGGCGCGAAGATGACCAGCAGGTTGATGCAGGTGAGCAGGCCGGCGGCGATGAGCGCGTGCCGCAGCCAGCTGAACTCCTGGTCCTGAAACAGCATCTGCTGGATGGCGCGCCGCACCTGCGGGGTGGGCAGTCGCCGGCCGTCAGGGCTTCCCCGTCCGTCCCGCCCCCCCGCCCCCCACTGTCCACTCTCCGGCCCTCCCAGCCTCCTCCCCGCGGCTCACCGGAAACAGCACGATGGGCACAGTGAGCGTGACGGCCATCAGCACGGCCACGCGCACGCACAGGATCAGCACGTCGAACGGGTCCACCTTGCTGTAGGTGTGCAGCAGCTCCGACTCCACCCCGTCTGCGGCAGGCGGGCAGGGCGGTCAGCAGGCGGCCCGGGCAAGGGCTGGGGCTCCAGCCCCGGTCCGTCCAGACCCTGTGGGGAGTGGCACCCCCTCCCCCCCCGGCCCCTGCCTCAGCCCGAGGAGCAGCCGTACCATAGAAGGTGAGGTAGCCAAAGAGGGCGGCCAGGAAGTACATGATGTACATGACAGTGATGGACAGGTTGGAGATGCGCTGCATCTTCTTCTTGGAGGGACTGCGGGGGGCAGGGCAGGGCCTTGGTGCCAAGCCGGGCCACACCGGGAGACCCCCATGGGCCCCGGGGTCTGTCTGGCATCGCACCCTCACTGCATGGCGACAAGGGGGCCTCCTTCTTGCTGCCGGTCATCGCCCAGAGCAGCCATGGAGATCTTTGGTCAAATGACTTGGCTCCTGCCACCCCCCCCTGGCCGGGGCCACGTCCACTCACCCCCTCCCCAACCGGCTCAGGCAGCCCCGCCCCCGCCCCCAGCCTCGGCACCTACTCCTTGAGCTCCGTGTAGATGGGGAGCACCTCTGGGTGGCAGACGAAGGCGAAGGCCATGATGGGGATGGTATACGCCGTCTGGGGGAACACGGGGCCGTGTCAGGGTGGCCCCCACCCTCTCCCCGGGCCCCTGCCCCTACCCCGGGCCCATCAGAACCTGTATGTTGAGAGTGAAGTAGCTTGGGGTGCAGACAGCTGGGGCGCCGGCCTCCCCCAGGGGCGGCGTCTCCTCCCTGCTGAACTGCGTGAGGCTGAAGTTGCCTGTGACGTTGGCTAAGGTGGAGGGGAGTGGGCAGGGCACCTGGAACTTTTTGTAGATGACCTGGTGCGGGGGGGGGGCAGGGGGCGGCGTGAGAGTGTCAGGGCAAGGTGTGGCAGCTGAGGAAGTCCCTCTGAAGCCACATCCGAGGGAGGTGGGGACTAGAGGAGCCGCCCTCCCTCCGACAGAGGAGCCCTGAGGACCCCTGCCCCTGCCCCGACCGGCACGGAGAGGGACTCACTGCGATTAGGAAGAACACCATGCAGCTGAGGGAGAAGCCGCTGGAGTAGCCCAGGTAGCCTGCAAAGTCGGGGAAGGGGCGGCCGTGAGACTGGGGACCCCCGCGGGGACGTCCTTCCGACACGCCCTTCCAAGGCCCTGACGCCGCCCCTGCTCACCCAGCTGCCGCATCAGTGCCAGGGGCAGAATGATGGTGACAGAGACCAGAATCACCAGGTAGTTCCCGTTCACGTACCAGTCCCTGCCGGGCGGGAGTGGGGAGCCAAGGTCAGGGCCCACGCAGCGCCGGCTCAGGCCGCGGGCCCCCACTCCCAGTCAGGGTCACCCGTGGTGCCACCGGGTGACCTCCGAAGAACACGGGCCCACAGCCGGGAGTCTCTGTGCCCATCTGCAAAGTGGGCACGCTCTCAGCGCCCGCCCGGGCGGGGCCGGGGCTTGGTGACCATCCTGACCGGAGTCTCTGCTGCTGTTTTCCTCAGGGCACACAGGTCTGTGTCCAGCCTCCTCAGGGAGGGGCCCCAAGGGGCCCAGCGAGGTGGATGGGATGAAAGAGCCTGGCTCTGGGGGGGACTCAGGGACTTGCCAACAGCCTGTGCCCTGGTGGTCCCCCCTGGCATCTGCATCCTGCGGCCTCCTGCCCCATGCCTAGTGGACAGGGGTTTCAGGGAATGAATGCGACGAGGAACGGGACTGCCTTTCAAGGGCAAGCCCAAAGGCCAGCTCCTTGGGAAAGGACCCCAGGGGGCGGCGGTTTCTGGCTGTTCCTCGCCTCCCATCACGGCTCTCAGCCCCCCAGCCCCTCTGCGTGCCAGGGCGGTGCTGCCGAGCGCGGGCCCTGCCTTCTCTGTCCCCACTCACAAACGTGGCCGATGCCATCACTGCTGCCTAAACTAGCGATGGGCAACTGGGACACTGGGGGCTTAAAGTCTCGGTGGGAGGGGAGGGGCTAACGCCCAAGCCACGGTCAGGAATAGCAGGCGCTTAGAGCTAAGCCCCGGGCTCTCGGGCCCTCTCTGCTCCCTGGCTGGGCGGGGCTCTTCCTCCTGCCAGCCCACGTGGCCCTCCTGGGTTCCCCCAGGGGCTCCATAAATGGGGGGTGGGGTGGGCTGAAGGTTGGCCCTGCTGGCAGCTCTCTGCGCCCCTGCAGTGACTGGTAGGGCGCGTCTCTCTCTCCCACTGGCCCAGCCTGGGCTCTCGGGGCCCGGGGTGGACACGGAGGGTAGACCGTGGCCTCCCACCCTCACCCAGCCCCACCCCACCCTGGGGCTCACGAAGTTTGCGCCTCCAGGTTCAGGAAGGTCTGTATGACAAGGGGCAGCTCGGACTTGATGATGTACAGGTAGCTGGACATGGCTGGAGGGAGAGGGGCGGTGGGCACCGGGGTCAGTGGAGCCAGCTGCCCCCCTTCGGGTGGCCCTCCCGCCCCCTGTCCACCTGCGACGGTCCGCCAGCCGCACCTCCGATGTTCTGCAAGGTGATGGCCAGGGCCGCCACCAGCTTCCCCGGGGTCCCAAAGGCGCGGTAGCCCAGCTGCTCATAGGCGCGGATTCCTGTGGGCGCAGGGCGTCAGGGCGGCCGGCCCACCCCTCCCAGGCCGCCCTCCCCGGCTGCGGGCCCGAAGGAGGCTCACCCACAATCCCCGAAGACTTGAGCAGCAGGTGGATGGAGTAGCTGGAGAGCAGGGCTACGGCTGTCAGCAGGAACCTGGGGGAGACGGGTGGGGACAGGCTGCTGGGCTCCCCCCCCGCCCCCGCTGGCGGGAGGCGACGGGCTTTGGGAGGCCTGGGCCACAGGGCCGCTGGCCAGGTGTCCGGGCAGGTGTGGGTGTGCACTCAGCAGGCCCAGGGCCGGTGTGCCCCAGGGGAGGCCCTGCAAACCCATCTCTCCCGGAGTTCTGGGAACAAACATGTTTTCCACTTGGCTGTGGGGCAGAGCTCCCGGGTGAGGACACGTGTACCCACACAGGCCTGGCCACGGGGCCGCGTCCAACACGTGTACACAGAGAAGGACAGACGGGTCCGTCGGCCCGACCCCGTGCGGTCATCTCAGCCGGCGGACTGGGAAGGGCGGGCCACCTGTCTGGCTGTGGCTGGTTTGCCCAGCCGTGGTCTGGGTTTCGTGAGAGGGCCCGCCCACCGCCACCAGGGCCTCAGGACAGGAGGCTGGGGGGTCCTGGGAGGTCGAGGCAGCGGCCTGTTCGGGGCTCAGGACAGGAGGCTGGGGGGTCCTGGGAGGTCGAGGCAGCGGCCTGTTCGGGGCTCCCGTGTGAAGCAGGGGCGCAGACTGCACTCACAGGAAGAGGACGATGCCCGTGTTGGCCATGGCGTAGGCCAGCCCCAGGATGCCGCTGCCCATGATGGCGTTGCTGAGGTTGAACACCGACATCCCGAACGACGTCTTCCCCTCGAACTGCGGGATGGCGGGGTCAGCGGGCGCGGAGGGCGTCTCCGGGTTCCCTCCCTGTCCCTCAGCCTCCCGCGGCTGCCCTGGGGCCCCGCCCTCCTTCCTCCCGGCCCCCTGGGGTGCCTGAGCGCCTCGGCTGCCCCGCTCACGTCCGTGAAGTGCGGCTCCTTGCTGGGGCTTTTCTGTAGGAAGCCCTCGCCCTCAACGCAGGTTCGCGGGGGGCCCTGGACCCTGCAGGCACAGGCCCGGGGGAGGCAGCTCAGCTCCGGCCCCCTGCTCCGCCCCCGGCCCCGCCCCGAGCCCCAACGGGGCCCCTGCAGCACTCACCTCTCATCGCCTGCTGTGGGGGTGCCGACCGGGCGTAGTCCTTCCGCGTGTTTGCCGTTGGGCACCAGCTCCACCAGCTCCGTCTGCAGAGGCGCCTCCATGCTAAGGGGACACCGCAGGGGCCCGGCTCTCACCCCGACACACTCGGCAGTCTGCGGGGCAGGCGGCCCGTCAGGTCGTCCCTGCTCCTCGCACCCAGGGCCCGGCCGCCCGAAGGCGGTCTCAGCCGCAGGCGCACCTCGCAGAGGGCCACTCGGGACACAGGCGCACAGGCCGCCCTGCCCCGGGCCTCCCTGGGACCTGCCTGTGGGGAGCAGAGCTCGGGTGCCCGAGTTCTCCAGGACGTCCTGAGGGGCATCTCGGCCAGCCTGCGGTGCTCCCTCCACACCCCGACACACGCACGCCAGCCCAGGCAGGCCCCCGAGGCCTCGGTTTCCCCATCTGTGCGGTGAAGCTCAGTTGGATGGCCTCAGTTCTGAGCCCAGAGGTGCCAGGACTCTGGGATGCTGAGTCCCAGGCCTGTTGCCCCCCCCACCCCCGCCTCAGGGAGAGCCCTGGACGGACCCCTGTCCCTGAGGTTGACACTAGGAGACGGTTTCCTGTGCCGGCCCCACGTGCCAGGGGCCTCCTAGCCAACCTCGAATGGCACTGCCCGACGGCGGGAGGCCTCAGGAGAGGGTGAGGGCTGTGGGCCCCGTTCCCAGCTGCCCGGCGGGCACTGTTGGCAGCCGGAACAAAGGGCCCTCTGTGGGCCGAGGGCTGGCGCCGGGGACGGCAGGCGCAGAGGCTACCACCCCCCCACCCCCGGAGCCAGGAGGCCTGAGGCAGTGCTGGGTGGCTGGACACCTGGGCCCTGCCCGCCTGGCTGCAAAGGGCCCTCAGGGGGCCTTCCAGGAAACGGGGGCCCCGGCGCCCAGTTCTCGGGGCCACTCAGGCCCCCTCCTGCACACAGCTCTGGCCTGAGGGCCACGCTTTCCTTCCAGCCTCCCCTTCCCCGCTGGGGAGCCCCCGCACCTAGGTGCCCATCTCCCAGGAGCCTTGGAGCAGACTCCCCGTTTCCTGGAGCCCCGGGCCTTGTGCGGCTGTGGAGGGGCGGGGCCGTGCAGTCAGCCCCTGGTCCTGCTCTCAGGGTGTGGCCCTGCTGGACCTCACAGGGACCAGCTCCCCGCAGTCCACCCCCAACCCCGTCGCTGCCCAGACAGCTCACCGGCCCTCCGGGCCCTGCGGCTGAGAGCCGCCCACCGCCGCCCAGAAGGTACCTGGGCAGGGTGCCCCCAGGACCGACAAGGACATTCTGAAGGCCGGCCGAGCCAGCAGGAGGGCTGAGGCCAGAGTGGTGACCAGGGAGGGGACAGCGCTGCCAAGCAGGTCAGCCAGGGCCCGGTCTTGACGCCACGGCACCCCCTCCGCCGGGGAGCCTTGAGTCCTGCCCCGGGTCCTCTAACTCCGCTCCAGGTCCTGATGGTCTCCGGTCTGCTCTTCAGCTTGGAGCACCAGGAGGTCTCCAATTCAGCCCTCGGGACTGTGGCAAGTAGGGGGGGCTAGGCTCAGGCCTCGGGCCTCAGGCCTCAGGCCTCAGGCCCCAGGGTCTTGGGGGCAGCCGCCACCCAGAACTGGCCAGAGGACCACCTCCTTTTGCTCCAGGCCAGAGCTCAGATCCCAGGCAGGTTGGTCCCGGGGACCCCTCACCTGACACTCTCGGGCCCCCTGAGCTGCCTCTCTGACGCTGGCGTCTGGACCTCCCTCTCCTCCGGCCCTGCCCACTCTGGACCCTGACGCGTGCGCATCTCTGCCCACACCCTGCTCCCCTGGACCGGGGTCCCCGAGGCCGGCCTGTCTTCACGGCCCTGCCTCCAGCCTCGCCCTCGGCCCCTCCGAGGATCCCAGCTGGGCGTGGAGGTGCCAGCACTTGGCCGCCGGAGGCACTCTGGAGTGCCCCCTGGCTCTCCGCTGGGGCCGCCCTGGCCGGGCCTCCCGCCCTGGGCAGGCTAGGGCAGGCCCTCAGAGTGTGCTGAGTCGGCAGCCTAGACAAAGCACCCTTCTCTGCCTTAATATCCTCCCCTAGCAGCCAGGCTCGGCCTCCAGGGAGACCACGGCCCACAGTGTGGTCATAGCAAAGGTGTCTGAGGTCCCGCCTCTGGGCTCCCCACCCCCCCTGGCAGGACCTGAGCTTAGGCTCTCTGGGCCTTGCTCTTGCAGCCCGCCGATGCTGGTTCTCGGGCTGGCCCGAGACCCCAGAGAGGCCGTGGAACGCCCCTCCTCAGCCGGCTGTCAGGCTGGAAGTGGCAAACCCCTACACGCATCCCTCGCCCTACGGCTCCTCCTGCGGCCGAGTGTGTGCCGCACAGTGCTGGGACTCCGGGAAGGGGAGAGCGAGGCATCAGGGAAGGCTTCCTGGAGGAGGAGCTGATGGAGTCAGCTGTGAAATCCCAGCGGGAGTCCCCAGGGTGTGGAAAGAGGAGGGAGGGACTCAGGCAGAGGACACAGCAGGCGCAAAGGCCCCGAGGTGTGGTACGAGGCCGGCGGTGAGGGTGAAATGAAGGTTTGGTGGCCATAGACGAGTTTGCCAAACCTTGACGTCCCAGTCAAGGAGCCCGTACTTCATTCCAGAGTGGGGCTGAGGGCGGGTGTAGGGCGGGGGTGGGGCGGGGGCGTTAGTGCTGGCCTGGTCTGTGGACCCCCAGCCCTCCCCTAGGCCCCGAGACTCATCTCTGAAACTGCCGTCCCTTCCCTCGGGCCTGCCACCTCCGGGCTGCTTCCCATCAGGGGGGTCCGCGCAGACTCGGGGGTGACCCCTGCCCAAGGACAGCTGCCAGCAGCCCCCGACCCCTGGCAGGGACACAGCAGGGCAGACACGCTCGGTCCGAGGCAGACCCAGCCCTGCCTCCCCGTGGGACTGTGAGCGGAGGCCTCCCCACTCAGGACCTCGGAGTCCGCCCGTCCCGCAGGGGTCCCGTGAGGTTTGGCCAGAACTGGGGGCGAGTGAGGAGCCTCCCCGAGGCCTTTGTCCCCAGAGCAGGCCCTGAGGCGGGCAGACAGATCTCTGTGACCTCAGGTGGGTCATCAGAATGGCATCTGTCACGGGTGCAGCGTGGGCTGCGGCAGTAAATCGATGCCCTGGGCCGCTGCCCCGGGCCTGTTTGCGCTCTGCAAGATAAGGGCCCGGCGGGCGCGGGAGGCTCCGGGACCGTGTGCTGCAGCAACGCCCGCCCTCGCGTGTCACGGGGTGCGAATTCATCAGGCACACCTCGGCAGGTGTTGAGTTTGGCTAATTAAAGATTTCAGGGCCCGGGAATCCAGGCCACCGTGTGGGTCGGCTGCTGTGGGAAGCACCCCTCTCTGCCTCCCTCCCCAAGGCCGTGGGACTGGAGCGGCTCTCAGCAGCGAGCTGGCTGCTGGCTGCGGGCTGCGGCCCAGCCGTTCGCCCCTGGGCCCTGCGGCCGCAAGCCTCGGCGGAGGCACAGACCCGGCAGGGCTTGCTGCCACGGCCCCAGGCGTCCTGTGTGAGGGCAGCCCAGGCCTGAGGAGACGCAGCCGGCCTGGCCGGAAGGTCCACTGTGGTGACCGCTGGGGCCTCAGGCATGAGGGCTGCCCCCACTTCCAGCTCACCCATCCTCACCGCTCCCCTCCTCAGACGAGACGAGGTGCCCCTTCCCTCCTGGCACCACCCCCCCCCCAACACTCCACCCGCTCCTCCAGGCTCCGGAGGGGAGACACCCTCCTAAGACAAGCTCTCAGTCAGCAAGGGAACTGGGCTCACCGGACACGTCTGAACTGTGTTTTCAAGGCACAGCCACCAGGGTGGGTGGGAAACTGACTCTAAGGCCAGGGGTCTGGGAGCAGGGTGGGCGGGAGGCTGCTCAGAGGAAGGGGAGGCTCGAAAACACACCCTGGACCTCCCCAGGCTGCTCCAGACCCTGGCCCCGGCAGGCCCAGCCCTGCACCCACTCCTCCCTCGCTGTCAGCGGCACTGGCTACGTGGCCAGTGTGAGGCCAGAACCCAGCGGGTGGCAGGCAGGAGGGGCGCACCCAGGGAAAGGGAGGTGGCCCAGGACACTGCTGCACCGGGCCCACCAGTCCCTCGTCCCCTAGCTCCCTGGCCCTGGGGTCTGGGGTCTGGGGCCTGTGCTTCTGCGTCTGGGCGTCTGGAAGGTAGGGACGGAAAGTGGCCTTCCCTGTGACAGGGCACGTCTTCCGGACTCCCGACAGATGCCTGGAGTGGGCCTAGCCCCAGACACCTAGGCCTCCCCTCCCCCGCCCCCCCAGGCCCGGACCCTGCTAGCGCAGGCTGACCCCAGCAGCGGAGGCTGCAGCTGGAACTTCTTGACTCAAGACTGGACCGGGGCCAGCAGCATCCCCCTCCCCCCGTTGCCAGCCTGCTGAGAGGGACGTGCGGCCTGAGGCCCAGCTGAGGCGAAGGACAGGACATCACATGCCTGTGGCCCCCCAGGATCCGGGGAGACCCCGAGCCAGCCAGCCCATCCTCCTCCCTGCTGACCCGGAATCCCCTGGAGGCGGCCAAATATTTGGACAGCCGGACTTCTGGCCCCAAAGAAAGCTGGAACAGGGGCCTGGGGCAGCTCAGGACTCATCGGAGACCCCACTGCGGGGGCTAAGGGCAAGGTCAGCTTGGAGGAGAGGCTCCGTCCAACGTCAGGAAGAGGCAGAAGAGAGGCGGAGGGAAAACACACGTGGCCCATGCGTCCAGCATACTGATCCGGACGGAGAGGCGCTGGGAGCCCGAGAAATGCGGGTGGAGAGAGACAGGGCAGACACAAACGGAGGAGAGTACACAGGGAGAGCCGGGGAGACGTGCGGGCAGGGGGGGAGAGGGGGGCGGGCACCCGGAGGAGGCCAGCCAGGCAGAGAGCGCCAGACGGAGGAAGGACAGAGACCAGACAGCAGGAGACGACAAGGGACAGCCGACGAGAGACAGGGAGCCCCAGAAGGCGCAGGAAGGGGCGAGGAAGCCAGACGCCCAGGTGAGGGGGGGTGGCAGCCCCAGCGTGCCCTGCAGGGGTGGCCGGGCGAAGCCCCGACGGGCCCCACAAAAAGGCGGCGGCAGCGTTTCCAGGTTCCCACGAGGGCAGGGTGTGCCCCCGCTGGGCAGGCGCAGGGACGTCCAGAGAGCGGGCCTGAGCCCAGCAGGGCCCCAAGGCCGGGCCCAGCTGGAGAGAGCCCCCCAGCCCAGCACCTGCGGCGTGCCTGCCCACACAATGGGAAAGATACGCGGACAGGCCGGCCGGCGGGAGTGGCCGCGTCCTCAAGGGCCGTGCACGTGTGTAGACGTGCCAGCGGAGAGGCTGTGTACAGGACGTGGCCCGCAGAGCGGAAATTCAAAACCAAGCCACCCCGAGCTGCTGGCCGGAAAGCCCCTCCTGCCACAGCAGCTGGTCCTTCCCTCCGGCCCCTAGAAGCCCTGCCGGGCCTCCCAGAGCACCCCACCCAACCTGCGTTTGTCTTCTCGCTCGGAGCCAAAGGCCAGCCCTCCACCCACCGGACTGAGGGCCCCCGGGGCACGTGGTGGGTCCTCGGTGAACGTCGTCAAGCCCCGGACTGAGGGCCTCCTTGACAAACTCCCAGCCCACCTCACCGGCTCCAGGGGGCACCTGGCCCGCCCCCGCCACATCTGCACTAGAGTGTCCTCCACGGGACCCCCGTTCTGCTACCGCGTTGGCTGTGCACACGCAGGCACCAAACTCCCCAAACATGTTTTCCCCGCGGACCCAGCGCCTGTCCCCGCACGCAGCCCAGAGGTCCAGGGTGCACTCAGTCCAGCTCAGAAGCCTTTCCCGACCCCACCCGGAGACCACGAGCCCCCCCCCCCCCGCCCCCAGCCTGTCCCGTTTCGTCTCGGCTTCTCCACTTGCCCACGATCCTGTGACTACTTGCTAAGGGCGGTGGGTACCATGACAGGAGCAACCAAATCTTGTGGTCTGGTGCCGGGAGCCCTGGACTGGGTGTTTTTTTTTCCCCCTTTGGACCAAAAGAACCAGCACCGAACAAAGGGGTGGTTTCCCAAGCCGCTGCGGACATGGGCTCTCCGGGTCCAGGCAGAATACAGTTCTGAGACACGTACCCCAGCTCCCCCAGAGGTATAGCGCCCTGCCCCCCGCACCCAGCAGTCAGAGAGTCTCCTGCTGTCAGTCATTCCAGTCCTCTTGGATAGGCATTAGGCCCGGCCTCATCCACCCCTGATTCCTCCCACCATTGGTGCTTCCTACAGGAAGCCTTCCAGGGTTGTGCAGAACCTTCACCTCTTAAAATGGAACTGTTCCCAGAATGCCTCCTATGCTCCAGACTGAGAACCTGTGAGGGACGAGCTTCCTTTCCAGAAGGAACTGAGCCCCCACGCCGGACTTTCTACTGAAGGGGGGCGGCCGCAGATCCAAAGGTCTGTTCCAGGGACGGTGCCGTGGCCCCAGGCAGTCGTGAAAGGACAGGACCCGCAGGCTGAAGGAAGGACGGACCTTTGACTGAGCCGCCCTCAGTCCTAGAGCCCAAACCTGGTCTCAGGGTTCAGGTGACCGTGGGGGGGAGGGGCGGATGCCCCTAGGCCCCGCCCCCTGCCCCCCTCCCTGGGTGTAAACAAACGCACGCAGTCGGTGCGGCCAATCCAAGGGGCCCACGGGGCGGGGCGGGCTCCTGCAAACTGGAGTCCAGCTCCTTTCCCTCGGGGGATACGCTGCGGTGCCCTCTCTCTCAGCCCCGCCCGAGCACCGGGCAGCGAACAGAGCAGCGCGCACGGAGCCTCGCCCTCAGACTCGGGAGCTACACGTGCCTGGTGCCCGCAGTGCCTGCTGGCCCGGCTGCGAATGGCACGGGCTCTAGGACCAACATGTGCCCCGCGGCCCCGGAGGCAGCCTGGCCCGACCTGCCCTCAAACCTCTGTGCAACGCGGCCGGGATAAATATACCCGGACTTTCCGCCTGCCAGCCCGGCCGCTCTGCCTGCCAGATGCCCGTCGGAGCAGCGCCCCAGGGCCTGCTCCCGGGCCCTCTTAGGCTCCCCTCCGGGGCCCTCTCCTGCCGCCCCCACAGGCCGAGCCTCGGGAAGCCCACCGGGCGCCACCGACCTCCTGCGGCCCCATCCGGCCCTGCGGAGGCGGCGTGGAGCCTCTCCGGGACACCTGCTCCAGCTCGGAGCGGAGTCGGACTGGTGGGTCCCCAGATCTGCGTCCGGAGCGCGCGGGGCTCTGGCTCTCGGAGCCAGGAGCGCCTGCCCCAGGCGGGGCGGGCGAGGGGAGCTACCCAGGCCCGGTTACGCACGAGGGGGTGGGCGGTGGGGCTCGGGCGGCTCAGTGCCCCCTGGGCTGGGGGTCGGTGCCCCTAGCGGTACCTGGTTTCACGGGTGGGGACGCGCGGTGCTCAGCTCTGGCTGGCGCTGACCTCTCTGCTCCCGGCGGAGCGCAGCGCAGGGGGATGAAGGGCGCCCGGCCCCGCCCCCGGCCCGCCCCCCGCCCTCTAGTCCCCCGCGGCCCGCGGGAGGAGGGGCTGGTCAGGGGCGAGGCGGGGGCCCGGACCAAGGAGCAAAGGGCTCAGCCGGAGTGCGGAGCAGCCCCTAGCCAGAGAGCAGCTGCCCCGGAGGGTTCAGCCGAGTCCTGTGGGGAGGGAGGGGATGCTCCAGCCCAAAGCTGACGCCCTCAGAGCGCCTCCGTAACCCCTGAAGCGCTCTGCCCGCATCCCCTGGGCCAGGAGGGACTCTTCGGCCGAGCAGAGTGGGAACGGGGCGCCGCTCAGCCTCAGTGGAGGATGCTTGAATGGAGGACTCTCAGACCCCGCTCAGGCTCCACAACGTCCTTCCTCCTGCCTCCCCCTCCCCGGGCAGAGGCGGGATAGGTGAGGAGGGGCCCTGCATCGATCCTGTCTTCAGCCCAGATGTTCAGAAGTGACCGAGGCTGGAGCAGATGGGGCAGGGGCAGTGAGGTCAGGGGGAACCTTGTCTAGCTTCTGCCCCGCCGCCCCCAGGTCCCCATTTCTCTGTTTCCAAGGAGTAGGGGACAGCTGTCAGCCTGCCCATGGGGAGCGGGGCCTGGGACTTGGTGTCCTGGGGCCAGGGGCTTTGGGGTGGCCCTGTTCTCGGCTGGGGGGGCCCCCGTCCCACCCCTACCTGCTTCCCACCCAAGACTCTGGTGCCCAGAAGTGGGTGGTGGGTGTTAAGGCCCCCAGGCCCAGCCAGCAGGGAGCTGGGGGAGGCCTTGACCGTGGGGGTGAGCTGGGGGTGGGGGTGGGGGGAGACTCCCGGAACATCTGTGCCCTTGCTTCCCAGCCACTGGCTCTGATCCGATTAATCCCAGGGTTTCTGCCGTTCCTGGGCAAGCTGGGTGTCTCTGGGTCCAGCGTGCCCGCCTCTCCCGGGGGCTGGGGGGAATGCCCCCGGGGGACAGGCCTCAGCCATCCGCTGCCCCGGGCTGGGAGTCGGGACTCCTGGGCTCGCTTCCTGTGGACTCACGTCACCACAGCCACGCCTTCCGCACCTCAGTTTGCCCACGCGTCACAGGAGGTGGCTCTGTCCCGTCCCACGGCCTGAGGGGAGTGGGTGGAGAAGGAGGGCTGTGAGCCAAGGGTAGGGGGCTTGGCGTCGGCTGGGAGGGCCAGAGGCCTGGAGGAACCACAGAGAAAGGCGCTAGGGCAGTGCCGTCCCAGCAAACCTCAAACCGCCTGAGCTCTCACCCTGCTGATGGCCGAGCAGGGGAAGGGACTGGCTGTCCCTCCTGACCTGGGGCTGATAGAACCCCCAGGTCAGAACTCACCTTGGTCATGAGGGACCCCAAGACTCTTCCCCTCCCAAGGGGCTTGGGGACTTCCTATGGGGCAGTCAGATAGGAGAGGTGCTGACCAGGGTCTCGGGCCTCCCCCCCACTCCCCCTACAGACATCCTGGGTGCTCACGGGAGATATTCCCAAAGGGCTGGGGGCTTCTACTGGCAGCTCACGAAGGGTCAGGCCTGGCTTCAAGGTCCCCCAGTACGTGGGGGTTGAGGTCCTCAGGCCAGAGTGGCTGTGTGGGGTCCCTGGGCCAGGCCGGTGGTGGCCAGGCGGGGGGAGGGACGGCCTGTTTGTTGATGCTGGGCCTGGGCCCCGGCCAGGGCAAACACAGCTCCGAGGCCTTTCCTGCCACCTGCCGAAGCTCCCAGCCCAGCCTGTGCCGGCCACGCAGCTGGCAGCCAGGTCGGGGCTCTGAGAGGTGCCGGGCACTGCCTCCCAGAGACCAGAGGGGGCGTCCATCCTTGCAGCCGCCGCGTGGAGGGCGGCCGCCTGGCGGGAAGCTCTGTCGCTTCATCTAAGCCCCGCCCCACTTACACTAGCCCATCCGGGGAAACTGAGGCGCAGGCCCGAGGGACTGGCAGGCACGTGTGGCAGGACGCAGGGTCCCAGGGTCACTCAGACCCTCCTTCCAGGGTCCTGGCCGCGCCTTGCTCTCCTCCTCCCTCCTCAGTCCTGCCTCTCGGCCTCCAGCTGGACAGCCGCCTCCCCCCACGCTGCTGCCTGCCCCCACCGGCACGCCATCCACACAGCGCGCTCGGACCCTGTCTGCCAGTGAAGCCGCGTCTTCACCCCCCACGCAGCCCTCCCCCGAGCCCAGCGTGGGCGTTCACCGACTCCTCGGACACCCTGCAGACACCTGCCTTGCACCCCGCTGACCGCCCCCACCCCGGACATCCTCCCTACCTGTGCCTCCACCCAGCAGTGGGCTCTCCGCCTTCCTCGCGCCACTTGGCAGCCCACTCAGGATCCTGCCTTCCCTTCCCCAGGCCTTCGCCCTCCCCGGTCCCACCCGGTCCCACCTCCCGGGCCAACTCCTACGCGTCCTCCAGCCCCCTGCCCGGGCCACTGCGGAGAGCCAGCTCCTTCCAGCAGCTGCTCTGCCCACCCCTCAGCGGCCAGAGCCACAGTGGCTCTAGGTGCTCCCTGCAGGCCAGGGAGGCGGGGGAGCTCCTGCCGGGCTGGGGGGCGAGGCCCGTGGAGAGGCAGCCCATGGGCTTGCGTCTGCCGAGGGGAGAGAGGCACCCGCCCGCGTGGGGAGGAGCGAGGGGGCTCCCAGGGGCAGAAGCGGCCATGGCCACGGCCACGGGGACACTGGAGCGTGGGTGTGACGTGAGCAGTGGCAGGTGAGGGGCTGCACTCAGGGGCAGGACACTCGGCCCCGAGTGGGTGCTGGGGGCTTTCTAGGCCTCCCAGGACAGTGGCTCTCCCCCCCAGCCCACGTTTCCTGCTCCCGGCTACGCTCCGCCCCCGCTCGGTGCCTGGGACCTTCCTCTGTGAGCATAGCCCAGGTCCAGTTGGCACAAGACCCGGGAGGCTAGAGGGGACCCTCCTCTTCAGCTTTTCCCCCGAGTCCCCAGAGCGGGTGACCTCTTGGCTGAGGCCTGTCCCCACAGCCTTGGCGTGCCTTTCCTCTCTCCCCTGAGATCTGGCCCCCGGCGTCTCTGGCCACTGAAGCGGCTTAATGAGCCCGGGTCACGTGGGCCGAGCTCCGGCCTGAAGGGAGGGCCCAAGCCCCCAGAGGCCACCCAATCGGGCCCTGACGTCAGTGGCATTAACCGGCTGCCAGGCTCGTCTAATCTCTGGTCAGCGGCCGGGCCAGGTTAGTCCCGCCAGAGCCAGAGCTGAAAGCCATGAGGGCCCTCGGGGGCACCTTGGGTTGCAGCTCAGGCGAGACGGCGGTGGCCGTCGCTGCTTACAGTAAATGCCCCCTGCCTAGGATCCCGGGGCGGGGCCCCGGTGCCAGCCCTGGGCCCGCTCTCGCCGACCCTCCGCCGTGGACCGGGAGCCCGGCACTGGGCGCCCACCCTGCTCCGCAGGGTGTGATTACACGGGTGCGAGTGGGGCCGAGGGGGCTTGCCAGCTGCGCGCGGGGCCGCCTGCGTCTGGGTGGCGCCCCCAGCCTGTGGGATCCGGGACTCTGTGGGTGGACCCACGCGTGGGAGGGGACTCTCAGGAGGGCGGCACCCAGCCCCTGGACGGTGTCGGGCCGGGCTCCTCTGTGCCCCTCGCCCGGGAAGGCTCCGGAGCGCTTGACCCTCTTTCCGTGACGAGGTGGCTCTGCGGAAGACCGAGTTCGCCCACCTCCCTCGGCAGCTTCCTCCCCTGTAGCCCACTGGCTCCTCAAAGCTCCCTGTCTCCCTCCTCGCCGCCCCCATTACATCCCGCCATCACTCTCCCCTGCCCAGCTCCCTCCAGACGAAGGTGAGCAGCCCCAGTTCAGACAGGCCCCCCCCACCCCGTGGGGGTCCTAAACCCCTGGCCCAAGCCCCATGCTCCCCTCTGGCCTCTGAGCAGCACCAGTGTGACCGCCCACACGTGTCCTGGGCTCCCTAACCCCGCCAGGGCGCCCCCCCCCCCAGCTCAGGTCCGGGAACCCTCACTCCCCACTCTCTAGCCACCCCTTTATTCAACAGGCTCCCAGCACCACCCTCCCCCGGGCACTGAGGCTGCTGCCCGGGCGCTGCCTCCTGCCTCGGGGACAGTGCAGCCCCTGCAATGCTCCCCTGAAGTCCCTGCCTGGCGCGGGCATCACAGGCACTCGGCCCACAGACAGGCCCCACTCCTCGTAGACCCCGGCCCCTTGGGGTCAGGAGGACACGTCTTTCCCGTGGATCCCCCCAGCCCACTTCCCCCCCCCCCCATGCCCACACACGCCGGTCCCCAGGAAACATGCATGACCCTATGTACATGTTTGTGTGAAAAATGTCAATGATTGTTTTTTCCAGAAGCGGATTTGGAAAATGTCCCTGATGACCTGATTTCCAGTAAGGTCGGGAAAATAAAATTATAAATTGTTGTAGGCATAAGTAAAATATTGAAGCTTGAAGTAATATTTTGAGTTTTAATCTACCTACTATACATTATCTCAGTGTTTTTGCAACCAAAGTTATGTGAAAAATTAACCATTAAAATACATAAAACCATACATAAGGGTGGACGTTTTTCTTCTTGTCAGTCTCCAGTGTGACACCAGTACAGCTTCAAAGGGCTCTCTCAGATTTTGTTTTTATGTAGACTTTTTTTTAAGGTTTATTTTTTTTAAGATTTTATTTATTTATTTTTAGAGAGAGGGAAGGGAGGGAGAAAGAGAGAGAGAGAAACTTCAATGTGTGGTTGCTGGGGGCTGTGGCCTGCAACCCACGCATGTGTCCTGACTGGGAATCGAACCTGCGATACTTTGGTTCGCAGCCTGCGCTCAGTCCACTGAGCCACACCAGCCAGGGCACAGCCATTTTGATGTTTAAAAGCATTGGTCAGTGTACTGTCTGCTCACTGAAATGTGTGGCCGCCCTTCAGTTCCGCACCGGAGGAGCTGTCTCCCCTGCCTTCCTCGGCCAATTCCGCCAGGCGGTTCTGGCCTCGCTTTCAGGGCCTCTGGGACCCAGCGTCCTGGGGGGGTCCTGGGGGGGTCCTGGGGGGGAGCCCGGGCCTCGGGGCTGGCATTGGGCACTTCCTGCTGTCTCCCCACCCCCAGTCCCTCTACCCTGCTCCTGCTCTACGGAATCTCCGCGGCCCCCAAGCCCCTGTCCCTGGGGCTTATACACCCTACTACCCCAGCCAGAGCGAGCTTTCATCTCAAAACTCCCCCTTGCCCTGGCTGGTATGGCTCAGTGGATTAAGCATCAGCCTCTGAACCGAAAGGTTGCTGGTTCGATTCCTGGTCAGGGCACATGCCTGGGTTGTGGGCCAGGTCCTCGGCTGGGGGTGTTTGAGAGAAAACCTGTTGATGTTTCCCTCACACATCAATATCTGTCCCTCCCTTTCTCCTTCCTCTCTCTCTAAAAATAGTCTTCAAAAAATAAAATCAAACAAGCTCCCTCTTGACCCAAGACCACCCCTGCAAACATTTCCCATGGCCCCTCTGCTCTTGATGGGGATCAGGAGGCCCAGGTCTGTGCCACACTCCCAAGGGCGCCCCCCCACCCCCGTGTCAGGCCAGGTGCCTCAGCCCGGAAGGAACCGTCTTCCCACTCCTGTCCAGCCCAGCTCTGGGCACTCCGTAAATGCTCATGACTCGTGGCAACCAATCCTCCCCCTTCCCCCCAAGAAAGGGACGTCGGGGCCGGTGCAAAGGTTTATTGCCGAGTCGGTGCATCTAGCTGAGGGGAGTTCAAGTCCTGCCCTGGCCCTGTGAGCTGGGAGCGCCTGTCCTCCTCGCCTGCAGGACAGGTCCCGTCCACGGACGGATGTCCCACGGACGGAGTGACCGAGGGGCAGTAGGGAATGGGGACGAGGGGACGTGAGCCTCTGTCCCTCGGTTAGTCCTGCCAGGGAGGGGGCCCTGGGTAGAAAGGGCAAGAGGAGCCGCTGGCAGGGACGAGTGTCACCTGGGTTTGCTCGTGACTCTACCTGGGGTAGGCCCCTGGGGCCTCCATCCTGTCCATCATCCCTGCCTGGGGCGGATCAATGGGAGCCGGACTCTGTCCCCAGCCACCCCTCAGGACAGTTCAACCATTGGCCACCACTGGTGTCAACAGTACCCTCCCTCAGCAGACCGTCCCCTTGGCCGACTGGCCTGAAGCACTCTGGGTCGGTGGGCGAGGCAGGACAAGGATCTGGTGACCGAGGACGGAGGGGGCAGAGCCTGTGGGGGAAGGGGTGGGGGGCCGCTCTGAGACTGGCCGGGGGGGGGGGAGTCTGGCCTGAGTCTCTCCCTGGCCCCCAGGGGCCCCCAGGCCTGCCCCCACGAAGTCACCTGTGTAGGAGCTGCGCAGGCCAGAGCTGGCTTAGACTTTGGACCCCTGGAGCTGCTGGGAGGGACAGTCACCGGCCACTGGGCAGACAGGTGTCAGCCTTGTCACATGGAGGTGGTAAGGCTGGAACGGGCTGATGGCAAGCAGCAGGCCTGCCTGGAGGAGGGATCCCGGCCTGCCCCCCCCTCAGGAAACTCCGGGAGGGAGGGCTGTTTGCTGAGCCCAGACCCACCGAGTGAGTCACGGGCCCCCTGGGGCGGGAGGGCTGCTGGCGATTGGTCAGTCGGGCACTGCTGAGTCACTGTGCACTCGAGCTGCCCCAAGTCCAGCCGGCTCCGAGCTGGGGCTGGCTGCGGTGGGTCCTGGAGGCCAGCGCAGCCAGGCCGTGAAGGGCAGCGCGGGGGCTGGGGGCACCTGGCTCGGGGAGGCCTGGGAGCCCTGGGGGAGGGTCAGGAACTCAACGCCAGTGGGGCTCAGGGTTTCGGTTCTGTGGCTGGTGGGGCCACAGGCGAGGGCCTGGAGTCCTAGGGGCACGACTGGGTCCTGGTGGCTGAGGCTACAGGGTGGAGAGGCTACAGGGTCTCAGGACGAGCCTGGGTTCGGGAGCCTGGGAAAAGAAGAAGGAACCTTGTCAGCACCCCCAGCCCCAGAATCACCTGGCTTAGGCTCAGAGACGGTGTGAAGGTGGATTTGGAAGCAGGGCCATCTGAGGGGATTGGGACCTGGTTCAGACAGATCAAGTGGGTGGGACTTGGGAGCTGTGGGAGGGGCCTAGGGCAGTGGGGTGGAGCCAGAGGAGGTAGGGTGGGTGGGGCCTGGAAGCAGAGGGTCTGGAAGCTGGGGGTGAGGCGGTGGTGTGGGTAGGCTGCGGTGAAGTGGGGCGGGGGTGGGGCGGGGGCGCTGAGACCAAGGGTCACTCCACAGAGGCCTTGGGGCTGGGAGACGCCCACCTCAAAAGAGGCCGCAGTCTTTGAGGTTCTCCTTGATGATGATGTCTGTGACAGCGTCAAAGACAAATTTGACGTTCTGCGTGTCGGTGGCGCATGTCATGTGGGAGTAGATCTCCTTCACGTCGCGCCGCATGTTGAGCTCCAGGAACTGCACCTTGATGTAGTTGCCCGCGTCCTCGTACGTGTTGGGCCCTGCGGGGCAGCGGGCTCTCACTGCCCGCCCCAAGCCCTTCCGGCCGGGCGGGGTGGGGGGGCGGGCGAGGCGCGTGGCCCAGATCACCAGGGTGGCGCCTCGCCCTGCGGCTGGGCTGCGGTGGGGTGGTGTGTGTGGGGGGGAGGGGGGGTGTTTTCTCACCGTCGTAGTCGGGGAAGCAGATGCTAAGATGCGCCTTTTTTATCTTCTCGGAGAACACGTCCTTCTTGTTAAGGAAGAGCACGATGGACGTGGTGGCGAAGTAGCGGTGGTTGCAGATGCTGTTGAACAGGTGCAGGCTCTCGTGCATGCGGTTCTGCGGGGGGGGGGGCAGAGGCCGTCGGGCTCGCGGGGCCACGGGCAGCGGCCCGTTCCCGCGACAGCTTCGGGCCAGCCTCCCCTGGGCCCTCCCCGCGGGGCTGCTGGCTGCCCCCAACCTCTTCGGACGGCTGTGGAACGATCGCCCCCTCGCGGATGCGCCCTGCTCCTGCAGCGCCGGTCCTGCCCCGCACTCACCACTTCGTCGTCCTCCACCAGCACCATGTCATAGGCGCTCAGCGCCGCGATGAAGATGATGCAGGTCACCCCCTCGAAGCAGTGGATCCACTTCTTGCGCTCCGAGCGCTGCCCGCCCACGTCGAACATCCTGCGAGGCCGGTGGGGCCTGAACCCGCGCGACCAGCCCCCTGGACACGCCGACAAGCCTCCCCTCGCCTCCCAAGGCGGCCTGGGGCGCCCTCGGACTGGGCGGGGCATCTGGAGGGGCCCGGCCTTCCTGCGGGCGGGATATCTGGGAAGGGGCAGGGCCTCTCAGGGGGACGGGGGCCTCGGGGCGATGAACTTGCGGGCAGGGGACCCCGGAGCCGGGCGCGGGGTCGTACCGGAAGTTGAGGTCCTTGAAGGAGAATTGCGTCTCGATGATGCCGGTGGTCTTGACACGCGAGCGCAGCACGTCCTGCTCGGTGGGCACGTAGCCCGGCGTTACCAGGCGCTCCAGGTCCGAGAGGTAGCTGCGAGAGAGCCCGGGGTGTGGGTGGGTGGAGTGCAGGGGCGTGGCCGGGCCCGCCCGCGCCCCCCGCGCCCCGCCCGGGCGCTCACTAGCCCGCGGAGTCGTTTAGCTGGTACTCAGAGGCGCGCTCGAAACAGGCCTGGATACCCGAGTCCTTCCACAGCCGCTGGATGATGTCCGACATCTCCTTGGGCATCGTGCCCTCCTCGATGGTGTCCGCCATGTGCATCAGCTTCCGGGCATCGTCCTGGGGGCAGGGTGGGAGTGGTTGGCGGTGGCCCTGGACTTGAGCCCGGCCCAGCGCCTCGAATCCTTCCGCGCAGCCCCGCGCAGCCCCGCGCAGCCCGGCTCCCCGCGCTCAGCCCGCCGCCCGGCACACCTGGCGCGCGGAGTCTCCGTACTGGATGTTGAGCGTGGTCATGGCGCGCACGATGGCGAGGATGGACTGCAGCGTGTTGCCGTAGATGATGGCGATGAACTCGAGGCACTCTTCCAGCGAGTACCCGTCCTGGTGGATAATCCTGCGGCCGGGGCGAGCCGGGCTCAGCGCCTCGTGGTCAGTTGGGCAAGGACTGGCCACGTGCGCACGCCTCCCCTCCCCTCCCCCCACCTCGCGGCCTAGGCGCCGGCACTTGCACTCACTTCATCTGCTTGACAATGGTGCTCTTCCCAGACTCGCCGGCACCTGGAAGGGAAGCCGGGCCTCAGAGCCGCGCCGGCCGCGCCGACCGCGCCTCCCTCCCGCTCCTTCCCGTCCTCTGCCTACCGGGCGGGGCAAAGGCTAGGCCGACGCAGAGCGCCAGCCTAGCCCTCGGTTCCCCGTTTTCCTCTCACTCCCCCAAAGTAAGATCCTGACATCCTAGCAGAAAAACGTTTGTGAATGTCAGGAGTGACGGAGGAATGCCGAAGGGGGGCATCCAAGACGGCTGTGCCGGGGAACCTGCAGGATCCCGGTTTCCTCCGTCTCCGTTAATCTGAGACCAAAATAAAGAAAGCCTGGAGCGCCATCTTGTGAAAACATACGGGACTGCACGCCCGGGGTTACTGGAGCCGCGTGGATCCAGCTTTTCAGCTGGAGTGGGAAGTGCCTCCCTGAGGCTCAGAGGGCATTAGCACCGTTGGTGGGGGGAGACGAAGCTGTCAGCCCCTCTAAGCCTGCTCTCTCAAGGGTGTAGGGCGCAGTTAATGGGATTTCTGGCTTAGCCTTCCCGTCTTCCCTGTTCCCAGAGAGCCAGGCTGGAGCCTGCACCCCTCTCAAAGCAGTTCTTCCCCTGGGGGGTGGCAGTGGCCTTGAGGTGCTGGATCCGAGCCCCATGTCCCTCACTGCCACGGGACCACGGGCACGCCTTATCTGTTCCCAAAGGGCCTTGGCCCCTTCCTCCCCCTGTAGCCACTTTGCAGTTCTGCCCACAACAAAGCTCTGAAAACGGGGGGCCACTGGGTGGCCCTGGGTGGCCCTAGAGGCTGCCCACTGTCAGGAGGACTGTAGCCTCCTCCCCAAGGGAGCAGTCCTAATGTGGGGCCCCCAGGAGTTCCCTGGTTTCTGAGCCCTGCCCAGCAGGGCCACGGAGCCCAGCCAGGGCAAAAGTGTGCCCATAAACACATGTCTACAAGAGTGGCTGGTACACACTTGTCAGGAGGGGAGGCTGCCAGAGGTGGGCCCTCTGGACAGGGGTTCCACGGCATGCCCAGCTCTGGGGAGCCAGGGCACCACCAGTCAGGCCCAGCCTTGTCCGGCCAGGGCTCCCACTCTGTTCCCTGCCCTGCTGCAGGCTCCCTGTGCTTCCCAAGTCATCCCTGCTTCGCAGAAAGACCACCTGCCTGCCCCCGGGCCTCTGGCTTTGTGGCAGTGGCCCCACCTTGACCCACACCCCTACCCAAAAGCAGCAGTTTCACGGTTCGGGCATCCTTCTCAGCATCTTCTTTCAGCTTCTTTTCTAGCTCCCGTGAGTGCTTCTCCTCCGCGCTGGCCCCAGCCCCCATGGCCCCAGCAGCAGGTGAAGAAACGGGGTCAGCTGGCTCTTTGGAATGGCAGGATCTCCAGAGCTGGGCTCAGGCCAGCCTCTGGCCTCCCCAGACACTCTCCTGGCCCCGGGACTGGCAATCAGCAGGCTCTCCAGACCTGTGCAGGCCCTGGTGGGGTTGCTTAGTGGGATTTGGGTGCTGGGGGTAGCCAAGAGCCAATCAGGGACAAGGACAGGTGAACCCAGCTCAGCCCCCAGCCCTTCTAATCGGGCTGGCGTGGCCCCAATCCCTCAGCTGCTGACTCTGCACCCCTCTACCACCTCTTCCCATCCTCCAGGAGACACCCTGGATGGGGAGATACACCAATCTCCTGCCCCTGTCCTGGAGGAGGGAGACGGGGCGGGGGGGGGTCCAGGCTCAGAAAGGGGAGGAAAAAGCCTGAGCCAATGGGGTGGGGGCCATGGGGGTGGGGCTGGCAGCAGGGAGTGAGGGGGAAGGATGCACCGAGCCCCTGCCCCAGGCCCAGCTCTGGGCTGGACACTGCTCCCTGCCTTGTGAGCTCACGCCAGCCCCGGGGGAGGGCACCCGCATCCTCGGCCCCCTCATACCGATAATGGAGCAAAGGCTCAGAGTCTCACAGCAGGAGGTGCTTGGGAAGGGCTGGGTGACTCGGGACCCGGACCTGACGCCCTGGACTCCACGCTCTTCAGGGAGTCAGAGGCAAACGTGGACGTTGTGTTCGCACCACGTGAGGGGGCTGCATCCGACCCAGGCAGGGCCTCTGCACGCCGTGTGCCCGCGGGCTTGGGTGGGTGTGCGCATCCGCTGTGTGTGCTGGGGGGGCGGTGTCTATCGTTTACTGGCCCCAAGTACGGCAGTGGCAGGATACAGGTTTGTCCTTCTATACTTGTGTGTATACACATTCCTGTGCCCTTGTGAGTGCACGTGTGAGCCTATGCACACCTGTTTGTGTACAGGTGTACACACGTGTGCGCTTTTGCACACTTCTTTGTGTGCACATGTGCTTGTACGCATGCATGCTTGGGTGGACCGACATGGGTGCACGAATGTATAAATGCATGTGCATGTGTGTTAGTGCATACTTACCCGTGTGCCTGTGAATGTACATTTATGTATGTGTGTACCTGTGTGTGTATACTTTCCTGTGCTCCTTTTAAAAAAGATTTTATTTATTTATTAAAAATTTTATTTATTTTCAGAGAGAGAGGAAGGGAGGGATAAAGAGGAGAGAAATATCCATGTGTGGTTGCTTCTCCCACGCCCCCAACTGGGGACCCAGCCCGCAACCCAGGCACGTGCCCTGATGGGGAACTGAACCGGTGACCTCTCTGTTCCCAGGCCACTGTGCCTCTTTTCGTGCATGTGCACTTGACCGCAACAAAGTCTCTCACCTGCAGAGGTGGCCGAGCTCTTCCAGGGAATGTTTTGCAGGCCTGCTGTCGGCTGGGGAAACTGAGTCCCAGAGCAGGTCTGGCACTCGAAGGGGAATGGAGGGGCGGGGCCCATCTGCTCAGCTCCTGTTCTGTACCCTGTGGGTGCTCTGGGACCTGTCTAGCAGTACCTCTGAGCCTGCCACCTTTGGGGGCTGTGGTCTGGGCGTGGGTTCGGGTGGGACCAGGCATGCTGCCGGGAGGCGGTGGCTCGAGGGGCCTGGAGTGTTAGTCCTGGGGCCCTGGGGGTCTCCCACCACCCATCAGAGGACCCAGACCCTGGGCTCCCAGGGCTCCCTCCAGGGGCCCGGGCCTCCTGCTGGGACTCTCTCTGCCTTTCAGCACTTGACTGTGCTCGCAGCCCAAGAGACCACGAGGGGATGCCAGGGCCCCACACCCTGAGCATTGAAAACTGTCCTTAACACGTGGGTGGGGACACTGACCCCCCACCTCAGCTCCACCTCTACCCTCTTGCGGGAGGGGGTTTTCTGTCCGGGAGCAAGAGGTCATTTGTCCCTTTCCAGCCGCAAGTTCCATCCTCCACCCCCCACAATGTACGTGGGGCCTGAGGGGTCTCTGCAGCCCTTTATACACTCACTGCCCAGAGGTTTGGGGGGATACAGCACCCTGGTTTCTGCACATCGAGTTTGTTTAAAGCGGGGACAATCCACTGCCCCCTAGCCGCCCCCCCCCGGCCGCTCGTCACCAGGCACGGCCCTAAGTCCTGCTGGGTCCACGGGCCTCCCCAGCCGGGGCGCCCAGCCCCCCTGTCCCTGTCTCCCCGCCCTCGGCCCCTCACTCAGAGCCCGGGGATGCAGCAGGAAGGATGGGGCTTCTGCTGCCTGCGGAGAAAGGGGAAGCCGGACTGTGGGGGCTGTGGCGCTGCCTTGCCAATCCCGAGTCCCCACTGCTGGCTCGAGGCGGGACAGGCGGCCAGGTGAGGTGCGAGTCGAGCAAACAGTCAACCACTGGATGAGTGGATGGAAGCTGGCCTGTAGGAGAACGTGTGGGAACTGGTGGCCAGGCCACACAGGGTGGGGGTGCGGGGCCTGGGCCGAGCCCCCGTCCTTCTTCCCCTGCCAAGGAGAAGAGCCGAAGTCCAGTCCCAGAGCCAGTGTTTATTAACAAGGTGGAACCCAAGGGTGGCGGTGGCCTGGGCAGCAGAGGGCCGCCAGGAGGCCCCCCCTCCCCAGCGGCCCCCCTGAGCTATTTACACCCATCATCTGAAGCGGGGGGCACCAGGGAGCGCGGGC